TTGGCCGGATCTTCGACGTATATGTTAATAAACCAATCTCGGGTGGTAGGAAGGATTTCCTGCACTCTCTGAGAAGGAATAATAGCTTATTTGCTCTTTTTGTTATTTTACAAACATGGGTATTCCACTTTAAGTCATTTTGCACCCATACACCGAGAAGTTTGAAGGAGTTTACTCTTTCTATTTCAATTCCATCCGTTTGTATAGGTGGGGGGTTCAGAAGAGGATTGGGAAAAACTGATCCACATGTCCTTAGTTTTTTTGGGGTTCACCATCATTTTATTATCATTGGCCCAATTCATCACTTGATTAGTTGATTCCTGCATATTTGAAAGGGCTCCGTTTGCAACGACCTCATCAAGAGTGCAGTCGTCTGTATACTTGTGCGTGTTTGTAAGGTTGTTTGTTAACGTGTTTTCCAAATCATTGATATGAATATTGAACAGTGTTGGAGAAATAACGGAGCCTTGCGGGACTCCAGCTGGACAGGGGGCGCTTGAAGATATAACACCATGTAAATTCACATGTTGATTCCGCTCTGTAAGGAAACACTTCACCCATGACCAGAAGGCCTTCGATACATTCATTTCCGCTAATTTTATTAATAGAATTCTATGGTCGACAAGGTCGAATGCTTTTTTGAAGTCCAAGAACGTAGTATGGACCCCTTTTCTTCCAATATTGGAGTTATCTGTTACGTCAAACCACTTCTGGGTCATCGAGATCAGGGCTGAAACAGTAGATCGATTTTTAACGAAAGCATGTTGGTTGTCCTTTATTGCCAAATCATGAGAGTTGAGTTCCAACTGGATTTTCTCTATCATTTTAGCTAGATGAGGAAGCACAGAAATTTGCCTGAGATCGTTGTTTATATCTTTGGGTTGATGTATCTTTGGTACCGGAGTTACAATTGCATGCTTGTACGCAGTAGGATACTTGGATTGGGTAATGCTGCCTGTTACGATACTATGTATCACTGGCGTAAGATCATCACAGTAGTGCTTTAAAAACCAGGCAGGGATTTTATCTATATCCCTGTTGCTTTCTTTGGGTTAAGGTGCTTTAGGCAGGACGGTACTTGCCCTAAGGAAGGTAGCGGTGGTGACGTATCCTTAAGTAAGTGGTTAACTTCATTTATGTCCGGGAGGTCAACATTGATATCTTTCCATGGGTTTGTAAAAGCAGTTTGTAGGTTTTCAGCAACCTTAGACAGATCTTCATTTGATGGAGTTTGTAAAGAGTTATGATTCGTTTCAGCACCCAACAGAGTATAGACAGTTTTATACCATTT